AGCCTTCTTTGTCTTGCAGCCTGAGGAGGCATCCTTTAAGTGGATCACCTCAGAAGATGTAAATTCTTTCTCGATGCAATAATGCAATAATCCAGAGGTCCAGAGGTCACAAGTAGCATTGCTCCAGTGTTGACTTCTTTGATAACGCTTTAAAAATTACATTTTTCATTACTGGCAACAAGGATTAGGTAGGTTTTATCTTCCGAGAAGACACACATGGAATAATAGAATAGAGGCTGACATGGTGATGAAATTTGGTCAAAATGCAATTTCCTGCTATTAAGTCTCACGACAGGTGCATCCTCTTTCTGGGTTCAGAAGTTATTCCCCAATGATGTAACTAGAGAGAATGGATCACAGGCACATTACAATTTGATATTTGCACGGCTCTTCTCCAAGGAGATGCTTTGCCTTCTTGTTTCCAGTGCGTGCCCGTTACAAAGGGGTCTTTTGTATTAATAAAGCATGATAGCGATATTCACCTCTTCGCCTTGCTCTGAGTCCGTTGGGCTTGTAATTTGTACAGGGCATAAAACATACCACACCCATGCCTATTTCAGTGCCTATTATAGACTTTTATCATCACATTTTCCTTTGTCACTTAGTAGATACCTAATGGCTACAGGAGTCGAGTACATATGGCTTTTCTTTTCTTTTTTTTTCTTTTTTTTCTTTTTTTTTTAAGCAGACCCATCTATTTCTAAATTTTAAAATCCATGATGTACATGTTCAGCTTTCTTTGGTTAAGCTCACTCCTTTTTGAGGGGAAAGCATGTAGAAGCAGAGAGACTGGCCAATTGAGCCTCAGTACCGAGTTTGAGTCAGCCTATAGTGTTATGGGAGGTCCCTTTTCAAGGAAAGTCAGCAGTGCCATCATCAGGTGCTGATTTTGGAACTTTAGTTCTGTAGAGAATGCCTATCTCTTGCTGTAGATCATGCCTCCCTGGGCACTGAACTATTACCAACTTAATCAGCCCCTTTATTCACCATATTTGGCTCGCAAGGCTTTTTGACTGTCTCCAAAGATCCAATGTGCCCTCAAAGGTCCAAGAGTGGCTGCTCTAGTGACCATTTAAAGAATATGCTCTGGGTCTGAGTGATAGTATAGCAGGTAGGGTATTTACCTTGCACATGGCCAACCTGAGGTCAATCGCCAGCATCCCATATAGCACTGTCAGGAGTAATTCCTGAGTGCAGAGGCAGGAGTAACCACAGAGCATCATATCACTGGGTAGCACTGTAGCACTGTCCTCCTGTTGTTCATCGATTTGCTCGAGCAGGCCCAGTAATGTCTCCATTGTGACACTTGTTACTGTGTGTGGTGTATTGAATACGTCACAGGGAGCTTGCCAGGCTTTGCCGTGCAGACGAGATACTCTTGGTAGCTTGCTGGGCTCTCCAAGAGGGGTGGAGGAATCGAACCCGGGTCGGCCCGGTTGGCAGCACGTAAGGCAAACGTCCTACCTGCTGTGCTATCACTCCAGCCCATATCACTGGGTGTGACCCCCAAATAAATTTAAAAATATATATATAAATATCATATATATAAATATTATATATATATATATATATCCCAAAGGTTCAAAAGGCAGTTGCAAAAAAAAAAAAAGTGAAAACTTGAGGAGTTATTCCAAAAAATTACTCTCACAATGGCAGCATGATTGAATGAGCAGGTGGACGCCAAGGTGGCTCCAGAGAAAAATTCTCACAGAGGCATATGTGTTAAATACCCACATCATTGGCCCATAGCTGCCAGTGTGTGTGCATACCCTCAGGCGCACACCCTCAGACAAAACTAATGGATTGGGAGGGCGGAGGTGGGTGGGTTCGAAGGGGGCCTTTGAGACATGGGTGGAAGGAAACAGACACTCCAGTGGTGGGTGTGGGGTTGGATTGCCGTACGCGTGAACTGGTTTTGACACTATTGTCAGTCAGTCAGCACCTCAATAAAGATGGGAGGGGCGATAAAAACAAACAGATGTCAGCTCGAGACGTTGCCTTTAGGTTTGTCTGTTCTTGCCGCCTCTTCCTGACCCTCTGCCCCCGTGACCTCCCACTTCCTGCAGGGCATCAGGGATGGCACCGTTTGGTAGCATATCTGGCCCAGCATGCTGATTGGGTCAGGATGTACGTATGCTTCGGGGCCCTGAGCAGGCAGGGACACCCGAAGACCCTGCAGAGAAAGCAGCAGGGCACCTAGAGCCTGGTGTTTCTGGCCCTTTCCACGGGGCTCCTGGCGGAAAGTTCTAGGGATGGTGGCAGAGTGGCCCTGCGCCATGGATTGCAGCATCGGATGAAGCCATACTCTCTTTTGGCCTCCTCAGGCTCTGGGTGTCCACCCCTCTGCACCAGGCAGGTTGGATCCAGTTTGTTCCTGTGCCGAGCGGTTCTTTCAGCAGTCCTGGAAGGGAGCCAGGTGTAAGATGAAGAGCATGGCCTGTGCCCTTTGCCTTCCCCTGTTCTCCTATTTGGCAGTGGCTTTGTTTGTTCCGAGCCCTTTGATAAAGAATGGCCCGTCCTCCCTCGTGTGCGGCCCAGCGCCGGATCTGGAGAGGCGGCCAGTACTGGCCCAGCCGGGACAGAAACCTGGGCAGGGGTCGAGGAGAGACTAGGAGGAGAAAACAAGCAAGAAAAAATCCTTCTCGGGGTTTCAAAAGGACACAGTGCTTCTCTGATGCCCCCCAGCCTGAAAGGATTCCTCCTCTCTCATTTTTGTGTTTGTTTCTATTTATTTATTTATTTATTTGCTTTTTGGGTCACACTCGGCGATGCACAGGGGTTACTACTCCTGGCTCTGCACTCAGGAATTACTCCTGGCGGTGCTCAGAGGACCATAGTAATGCTGGGAATCAAACCCGCGTCAGCCGGCTGCAAGGCAAACGCTCTACTCTCTGTGCTATCGCTCCAGCCCCTTGCCTTTGTCTTTATTCTGGGATGCAGGCCTTAGTGAAGAGTTATCTACTTTGCATTCTGCTTTCCATTGGACAAACCACACCGAGGAAACCCCGCTTCTCTGGCAGTTCGAGAGAAGGCCACAGGGATTTTGCATCTGGTGGTTTTCGCATTGGTATCTCCATAGCAAGTCTATTTTTTTTTTCTTTTTGGGTCACACCTGGCGATGCTCAGGGGTTACTCCTGGCTTTGCACTCAGGAATCACTCCTGGCGGTGCTCAGGGAACCATATGGGATGCTGGGAATCGAACCCGGGTCGGCCGCGTGCCAGGCAAACGCCCTACCCACTGTGCTATTGCTCCAACCCCGCAAGTCTTTATTTCTAAGTTTGAAAAACAAAATAGCATGTTTACAAACTGTCTTTTAGGGGGCGGCGCTAGTATCGTAAACAAATCACAGAAACTGAGATCTTCTCTTTTGGTAAGAAAAAATGTTCAGATTACCCAAAGCAATTATAGAAATACTCAATGGCCTGCCTGTTCCCAGGCAGGATCTTCAGAAAAGAGGAAGGAAACCGGAAGTTTCCGCTGGGGATAACATCTAGGGGGTGTAAACTCATAGTCATCTCTGTCTCGGTCAGCCACAGGTGTCAACTTCATCCTGACTGTATCACAAACCATGTCCCTGTCCCATTACCTAGTAAAGACATTTTGCACCCTACACTTGTACGCTTAACTTTGACCCTTTTCAGATTCCCCATTTTCTCCACCCAAGCCACGTTTCTTCACCGCCCCTTACTGTCCCCTCGTTCCATATGGCTTATCTCAGATGCCCCCAGTGGGGAGTGTGCTTTTTTCTCCGACATTCAGGGCCTGCTTAGTGAGAACTCTCTGTGTGCCAGCCCTGGTGGTAAGCTTTTCCGATGCGAACCTGAAGCCACACACATCATTTCCACAGCCCTAGATCATTCCTTTTCTTCCAGAGCCAGCCAAGTGTGTCACCACGGTGCTTCTCTGATACTCCTAGCCAAAAGGATTCCTTCCCTCTCCTGTGAGGCTCCTTTGGAGCCTTTTATTTATTTATTTATTTATTTATTTATTTATTGCCTGTGTGTTTATCATGGGATTCAGGTGTTAATGAAAAGTTTTCGACTTTGCATTCTGTTTCTGCTCCGAGCTTCCCCTTCCTGCAAGAATTTCAAGAAAGCAGAGTCAGGAGCAGAATTCACATGCTCTTCTCCAGAGTGCTTCTTGCAACAGCCATTTACTCCTTGAATACATATTTATTGATGAGTTACACCACACCACGCACTGTTCAGGAGATTCTATAAATACTGGTAACTGTCAGGAACTTCAGAGTGCACGGAAAATTAGGGCTGTCTAGTGTAATACTCTAGAGCAAAGGAGGCTTGATGAGATGAAACTGCTGTCTCCTTCCTGTGGGGGAATGAATGATACCCTTTGAGGTTTGTCTTCTTGAAGTGTGTAGAAGGAATGTTGTTTTTCTGCTGGCATGATTTATTTCCATAGATCGAAATCCGAATTCGTTCAGCTCTTTCTGTTTAAATGATTAACTAGACCTGTGAGCGTGGGCTTCCTTTGGCATCCCAAAATCCACGTGTCAAACAGTGTCGCATTAAGAAAACTGATTTCAGATTTGGTAAGGTAACATAACACAACTGCAAATTCTGAAACCCGCATTTGGGTCTGAGCCAAGAGGAGATGAAGCCTCGCCAGCCTGTGCCCTGCTCAGCGATCTCTCCTGGCTGGTCTGTCACGAGCATGATAATGTACAGTTGCGTTGCCTTCACGAACACATCAAAGCATTTTGTGTTCTTGTGTTGCTAATCCCCTGACCTCTCCCACTCACATCGATTTGTTTGCTGATTTAATATTGACAACTCGGAGTTGGTGATGGCTTTCAACTCTTCCCTTTTGAAAGCAAAACATGAAAAGTTCCATGCAGGTCACCAGTTTCTATGAAGGACACGGCACTGTTTGTGACTCCCGCTTAGCTCCTACCGAGCCCTTCTTAAACAGAAACCCTGAAAAGTGAACGTGCATTTTTGAAATGCCTGTGGTGATGAAGTCTTTCGTTTTCCTTTTCAGAATGAAGACCTAAATGACCTCAGCAAACCCTCCTTTCACTCATGGGTACCCAGACTCTATTTCGTGATTCACAACCAGGACCTCACATCTTCCTCCTCAGTAGATGGTACGCTGCATCCATTTCAGTTTGTTTACTTTCCACAATCCTCAGGAGTTCCTTGACTGAACTGCACGTTCTATATTGTGCCAAGAAAAAAAACAAAGCACTGTGATACCAGAACAATGAGTCTGCTTTTACTTCATCGTCAACCTTAAAGGGACTTAGCCGGCCACACGAACTTTTGTGTCCAGCACCACACCACGAGAGAATGGGTTTACTCTCCTTGCGTTCACAAGATCCATTTCATCTGCTGCTGAAACTGTAAACTGTGTTCGACAAAACAGCGTTGTAAATTATTTCATACAAAAAAAAACTGCTCATGATGGGTGGAGAGAGTATTAAATATTTAACATAGGTTTTTGATTTATATGTGTAATTTTTTTAAATTAAAATGTAACTTTTTCTTACAGCACATCTTTTGTTTTGGATGTGGAACTGAGGTATACAATGGTCTGTTGTAAAGTGTGGAGCGAATGCTTAAAACAAGGTTAAACAAACAGAGAAGAGTAGACTAGGGTACGATCCTTGTTTTAAGATTGTAATTCAGAAAAAAATAATATAATAAGAATCATAGTGCCATAGATGGTTCTCAATTGTATAGTTATATTTGCTGATACTATCTCTTGTAATATAGCCCTGATGTTGAGCTGAGATCCTTACAAGAATTAATCTTAATTTTGTATTTTTCCTGTAAGGCGATAGGCCATGTTAATGAAATGGAAGAAGGATATATTCTAATGGGTATTTTCAAGTGTCAGCTTAAAATTGGCAATTGAATGGAAGCAAAATTGCAAGAAAAGGAAATCAAAGTCTTCCATTGTATATACTGTAAAGAGGAGGAGTCTTGGGTGAACCCTTCAAATCGAGAGCTCTCTTTGGAATGAACAACGTGGGTGTTTGTAAATTCTGGAAATTTCTTTCTTTTCCTAATAAACTAGAGACTGTTGATCTTCTCTGCTCCCCTTCCCCCACTTCTGTAAGCTTCCCCTTCCGTTGTCAACTTCCCCCCCTGTGCACACAATTAGGGGATTTTGTTCCCCGCATTGTCTGGGAAAGATGGCAAGACCAATGAGTGCTTGTTTTTCCTTTTGAACCAGAAATTAAAGTTCCCCAAAGTGTTTTTTAATCATGACCAGGGCTACATGTCACTTGCCTTCCAAACCTTATCTCATGTTTTCTAAGCACTTGCAGTATTACATTATTTAACTGACTCAAATTTGGCCTCTTTGCCCTGGTGGGTGGTAGCTGTTAAGAGATTGGCTCACAAAATCTGGGTCCAGAGAGCACATCAAGCATAATGATTTGCTGTAGAAACAGAACGATCATCCTTTGCTTACTTGGAATAGACACACAGCTTGGGTTTTTTCCTTATGGAAAAGAAATGGCAGTAAGTGAATTTAAAGATGCTGCTTGCAGAGTTTTTTTCTTTAAAAAAAAATTTTAAAATTCCTAAAGATGAAGTGAATGAATGCCACTATCAGGCTCCCCTCCATGTCTCTGTAAATTTCAGGAATTTCCAACCCTACTGTAGAGAGAAACGATTTTCTCTCTGAAAGGTTGAACTCCCTAGATAGGGGGCTGGTGTTTCAAAAAAAAGGAGCTGGGGGCATTGTTGGCTGCTTCCCCTCAACCAATGTGAGGACCCCTGTTCTATTCAGCAGGGAGTAGAGATCAATACAATACCCTCCACCCCCACCACTGCTGAGGCCCGGTACTGCTAGGTGAACCAGATGGCTTGTTCTTGTCCATGGTTGTACTATGTTCATTGTTGTAGGTTTTAACAATTAGCACGCTTACCAGTTTCTAAGATAAGTAGGTCTGTAAGTCACAAGAATTGATTGTGTTCAAGGAACTCTGGGTGACATCATTTCCCACTTAGGAAAAGACATTACCAAGTTTTAAAATCGGATAGAAAGTTGATTGCATTTTACTGTCAATCCAACTGACATATTTTTCAAATATTTGGGTTCCTAATCTTGCTAGTAAAGGAAGAGAGTACACGGACCTGTTTTTCCATAGAGAACAGAAATAGTTATAAGAACTCAAGGAACAATGTCAGCCCGAACCCTGTTCCTATCACATGGCTGTTATTTCTTAAAAATGGAATATGTATCCCCCCAGATAGCTTTGCAGGTAGAATTTTCAACAGATTTGGGATGAGAACAGAAATGGACAGATTGGAAAATCCATCTCTCTCTTGATTTCTGTTTCTGTGGTGTGTTGTTGAGTCCAATAGTACAAAGTCAGAGATTTTTTTTTAGTACAGTCAGCGATGCTCAGGGCTTACTCCTGGCTCTGCACTCAGGAATTACTCCTGGTGGTGCTTGAGGGACCATATGGGATGCTGGGAATCGAACCCGGGTAGGCCGCATGCAAGGCAAATACCTGCTGTGCAATTGCTCCAGCCCAAAGTCAAAGATTTCCTATTTCAGTTGTTCCTCATGGGCCCTGAGATGGTTTGAGTCCATATCAAACTTCACTGATGTAAAACTGGAAGTTGCTGGCATTGAAAGTGAAAAGTCCTGCTCTGGCTACCTGAGGGACTGCCCTTGAGCATCCTGTCCACTGTGAAGTTCCTGGGTTCAGTTCTGATGGGAAAAGGTCCATTTCACAGTATTTGGTCAGCTGACAGCTTCTAGTGAGTTGTATTGAGGTGACCTGTAAGTAGTTTTTTCTTTGTGTCACCCACCTTCAGAAGGTTCTTTCTTCAAGACGTGAGCAGAGTTATCAGATTCTCCTTTTGTTTCATAACATTGATGACCACTTTATTCTGGGAAAAAAGAAAAGGAATGGTCCCAGAACCAGCTAGAAGGGAAGGGAAACCATTAATGATCAACCCTGAGTCAATAATGCCAAATCAGTACTGAGGGTACATATGTGGCGGTTTCTTTCTAATTTGGAAAGGTCAGGGACTCTCTTGGCTAATGGAGGTTGACTACAAAAAAAAAAAAAAAAAGGACGAACTAAGAACCATCTAGCCAGAAGTACAGCTTTTTAACCTTTCTTTCCCGGCCTCTGGTCTCCTAGCTGTCTTTGCCATTTGAGACACTTAAAGTATTGTGAAATTGTGTTACTCTACTGTCAGAAATAGTATTTTGCAACCCTGAAGCCCTGTTTTGTTCAATCTTGTATCCTTAATGTATTATGCCATGTCGTTGAGAACTTTTATTTTACTGCGGGGAGGGGAACCCATCGTCCACTGATAATAGAGCCTTGAAAAGTGGGGCAGATGTTAAGTGCTTCTACTGTCCTGGCACTGCTCTGTGGGTTACTCCACCATTCAAGGAGGTGCTAAAGCAAACACACTGGGAATTAAGACCTTGGTTGGGGAGAAACAGGATTTTAGAAAGTATTGGAAGGGAGACAGACCAGGGCCTGAGATGAAATGATTTCTTTGTGATGACTTGGTAGGAGCCCAAGGGTTCAGAGGACAAGGCAGGCGTTCCCGGTAGGGATGTTTCTTTCTCGTGGGCAGCTGAGAAGCATGAGAGAAAGAAGAACGCTCTTGTGGGTCTCTGAGGAAAGTTGGCATTACCAATGCCAAGAGAAGAGCCTGTAGTCCACACACTTGCTACACTAGAGCAAAAGCAGTCTTCTTGGGGTCAAAAGAATATCAGTTGTTGAACACTGGAAACTTAGATCATTTCCAAAGCTGAATAAGAGATTATGGAGCTTTTTCCATAGATCCACAAATTGTTTTATGTGTTGTAGACATTGTGGCATAGATGGTGGATTGGGGGGGTCTCTTACTCTGTGCAACCAGAGCATCAATGGATTCTGGGAGGGGCCAGAATGATATTGAAGGTGTTTGAGCCACACTTACAGCATTTATCAATAATAAAGAGTTTCCAATTAGCAAACATGATTGAAAATCATATGACTCCTTTTCCTTTATATCCTTATTGGTTGATGACTTGGTATTTGTGAAGTGTACACCAAGAGATCTTTTACCATTCACCTGGCATTTAAAATCTCTCTCTTTGCATATGTTGTTAATTCTCCCAGTTGTTAACTATTATGATGCTACATGGTAGGGCAAATTCAGTGAACAGGAAAACATGTCTCTATTTTATATAGACATCCTTACTGCTGTGGTTTTTGTTTTGTTTCGTTTTTTAGAATTTTACTCTTGGCTTCAGAATGTAGTTCCTGGAACAGTTTTTCTTACCAAGTTCTTTCCTAACATCTCTTGGCTGCAGGGTGGGCCAAATTAAATTCATATATATTTTTTCATTTAATGTATGTGCAGTTTGGTTTGACATCTTAAGATGGTGGTGCTGTTAATGGTGCTACTTCATCTGTGTACAAAAGGACCAATGCATGGTCTATATTGCTACCAAAACATTGATTGTATATATGTGTATAACATGTATTATGTATATATGTAACGGGTACCAGGCCAGATATATATTTTTATTTAGAAGTGTTTCACTTTTCCAAGTTTTCTTTATAGTGTTATGCTTATTTTCGTTCTGTTCCCTTCCCCACCCCACCCCCATTCTGTCTGGTACTTAGAACTGTAGTGTCTTCATCGTTAATTAAAGAAAACTGTCTAAATGAATTCACAGATGTGAATATTAGTGATCGTTAATGTCTTTGATTGTGGAAACTGGCCCATCCCAAATATGCCGAGGTCTTTGGGTAACAGCAATGAAACATTTTAATACATGATTTTGAAATAGGTTTTCCTCATACTACCCACTTTGGTTAGGCCTTCAGTGGCCAAGAGAGAAAGATGCCTGCAAAACTTTTAAACTTCTTTGGGTGTGGTGGATCAGTGGCTAGGGGTTCTTTGTGCTTCCTGGACTGGAAAGGCTGTAGAGATGCTGAAGTCCCTGGCATTGAACCTGCATGTCCTCACGGCCACTGCCATGTCGTCACTCTCCAGGAGGTTCAAGCACCTGGTCAGGGTTGAGACCCATGCTGGAATTTGCCCAAATTTGTCTGGTTACTGGTTACTTCGAAATGCCCACTTCCTGGAACTGTTTAGGAATATGCACTTCAACCAGCTGACCTGTGCTTGACGAGTCTGGGTGGTCCTGATTTCTGAACAAGTGGAGCCTTTTGGATGGTTTTACCACACAGAGATAAAACACCCGTGACATTCCAGTTTTCCAAAAATAGTAAACCTTGCTGCCAGTATAGAAGCAGTGAATTAACCCTTCAACCACAACTCAACTTTTCTTTCTTATTTTTCTTTTTTCTTTTTTCTTTTTTTTCTTTTTTTTTTTTAGCTTTTTTGGGTCACACCCACCCAGCAATGTTCAGGGGTTATTCCTGGCTCTGCACTCAAGAATCACTCCTGGGGCTGGAGAGATAGCACAGCGGGTAGGGCGTTTGCCTTGCACGCAGCTGACCTGGGTTTGATTCCCAGCATCCCATATGGTCCCCTGAGCACCGCCAGGAGTAACTCCTGAGTGCAGAGCCAGAAGTAACTCCTGTGCATTGCTGGGTGTGACCCAAAAAGCAAAAAAAAAAAAAAAAAAAAAAAAAAAAAAAGAATCACTCTCAGGTCGACTGTGTATAAGACCAATGCCCTACCCGCTGTCCTATTGCTTCAGCCCCAACTCCTCTTGCATCTTGTTAAATATCATTATTATTATTATTTTTAACATGGAAGACAGAGGTGCCTTGTGGGGTTAGGACACATTAATGGAAACTCAAACGAGTGGACACTTTGGAAATAGATTTTATACCAAAATTTTGAAAAAAGTATTTTAAATTCTTATTTGAAGCACGATGGCTTGCAATGATTTTTATGATAGAATTTCATGCGTACAGTGTACCAACACTAACCCTAACACTCTGCTAGCGTGTTTGCGTCTCTTGACCCTCATACACCTATCTCCTCTCCCCTTGGTGAGCGAGCTCAGCTCTGTAGACAGCTTCTCATATTCTTTCCGTTGCCTTTGGCTATTTGTTATGCCCTTGCTATGTTTCTTGATCTCCCACA